GGCAGAGACAGAAGAGGCCCTGGATGGTTCGGGAGGTGGGGCGCAAATGGTGGGGAACTGATGAGGCTAGTGAGGAAAGCCCAGACATGGATGTCCTATGAGACAGTGACAGGACATCAGGAGAGAGGTCATTTGTGTAGAGCCAGGTCACATAAGGCCAGGGAGTGGTGCCCTGAGGGTCTCAGTCTGGCACAGTGGTGAGGGCAAAACCTTACCTGGCCTGGGCTCAGGAGCCGAGAGGGTACAGGAACTGCAGACAGGACAGGGAATCCACTCAAGGAGCGTTCCCGAAACAGAGGGCTGGAGTGGATGGGAGGTCATCAGCCCTGCGGCCTGGGAGGCGCGTGGACAGCCCAGGGCGTGGTGAGGCAAGGGCTTTGCGTGCTGATGCCTTTCTCTCTCATTCAGGAGATGACTGAGCCGGTGTCTTGCTAACAAGTGAGGGACTCGGGCTGAGTTGTTCAATGTCGCTAGGTGCAGCTGCCTGGGACATGGAGCAGCAATAAGACCTGTGTCACAGACTGTCAGCATCACATGAGTTAATCCTAGAAAATGTGACAACAACTAGCACAGTAAGCAACCCAAACAGGTAACTTTGGATCTTTAGCATAGGCACTATTTTTAAAGGAGCAATACGAAAAGAGGGAAGGATTTTGGAAACACGTTTCAAAACCTAATCTTTATTTAAGTAAAGTATGTTTGTTTTGGTTTGGTTTTGGTTCTGGGGGATCAAACTCAGGACCTTGTGCTTGCAAGGCAGGCAGGAAGTAGCACCACTGAGCTAAATCCCAGGCCCAAAAAGTGTGTGGTTTAAAACAAAAACCAAAAAAAAAAAAAAAACACAACACATATGTTGGGGCTTTTCTCCTGCCTGTGAAGTACAGTGTTACATGAATTATGGGTGTTATTGGTTGTCGTGAAGACCAAGTGTTGCCACGTACTAAATATGTCTTGAGAACTTTGTCTTTTTTTTTTTTTTTGAGGCAGGGACTTGCTGTGTAGTTCAAGCTGGTCTTGAACTTGCTGTGTAGCCCACCCTGGCCTCAAATTCGTGATCCTCCTGCCTCGGCCTCCTGAGTGCTATTTAAAGGAGTGTGCCACCATGTCTGGCTGAGTCTTAATATTATGAAGATTGATATCACTATTCTGTTATCATTAGAAGTTCATGGGGACAACTAGTACTTAAAATACGTTTTAAAACATTTCATGTGTTGTGAATTCAGTGTGGGCTCAAAGCTCCTTGGAAAGTCAGTGTGTTTTAGCATTTTTGGAGAACGCGACCTACTATCCACACATGTGCCTGTACTGACATTCCACTGCTTCTGTGACCTTCATGAAGAGTGGTGACCCGGGGGAGAACCTCCCAGACATCCAGGGCAGGGGTGCAGTGCCCAGACACTGACTTCTCCACCCGTGCTGGGACAGAGGACCTGGTCTGCACAGGGGAGCTTTTCCTGTGTCACCCTCTACTTCACACCGAGTGCCTTGAAGGCAGGAAATCCAGTCTGAAAATCCAGTATGCTAGACCTCTCAAGACAAGTTTAGGTTCCCCATCTTTAAAATGAGTTTAATTTCCACCAGGGATTTAGCTCAGTGGTTCTGCTTCCTGCCTCTCAAGTGCAAGGTCCAGAGTTTGATCCCTAGTATGAAAAAAAAAAAGTTTAATTTCATGTGGCGTGGTGGTGCGTGCCTATAATCTGGGAGGTGGAGGCAGGAGGATTACAAATTCTAGCCCAGCTTGGGCAATTTAGCAAGACCTTATCTCAAAAGGAAAGATGGACTGGGGATGTATCTCTGTGTGAAGGCTCTGGGTTAAATCCCCAAGAACAAAAAATTCCAAAACAAGAGTTTAATTTCCCCACAAAATACATCATTAGAGATCGAAGTTTTATCACTTCTCAGTTTAAAATGATTCTGGTCTATCACTGCTCTGTAATTATGAACAGGGTTAAAGAAGCCTAGGACACTTAACATATTCGCTTCTCAAGGTGAGTCTAGTCCCTGCTTGGCTGACCACTGTGAAGTTGAAAATCTGGAAAATGGTAAAATATGCCACAGCTGAAGAGAGCTTTCCTATGTGTGTCTCGGGGTGACCCCTTCATACCCTCCCACGTGTTCGCCTTCCACCTGAGCTTTCTTGGAGCCCTGAGGTTTGTATGAGGAGCGACGCCCACACATTGAAGCAGAAACTTGGCAGCCAGCAACCGTGCAGACGAGGTGGCCCTGGCTCACGGCCTGGGAAGAGGGTTTGCCATCAACTCAGAATCTGTCAGGGTTGCAGGGCGCAGGGCTGTGGTTGCCCTTGGGCGGGTGGGGGCTGCAGCATCTGAGCTAGGTGGCCACCAGCACCCCAGCCCCAACTACGTCGTGAGCCGAGGTGAACAGATCAGGAGTCCGAAGTGAGTGCAGGGCCTGGATTAGTGAGATGCAGGCCCATGCTCGCCTGGGAAGGTAAGCCAGGAACCCCAACGCAGATCAACAGCTGCAGGGACCTGGAGTGGGGGAGTCTCGCTCACAGAGCGGGGGCGACCCTCACTGAGAAGCGGGGACGAGGACCTGGAGGCCACAGGAAGCTCTCTCAGACAGTGTGCTCTCCCGTGCTGATGAGGCTGTCCGCGGCGCCCTGACAGCCAGGTAAGGCCAGCCCATGGTGTGAGCCTGCTTCCTTCCTCGCCCGAGCAGTTACACAGACACCTGCAATTGTGTTACTGCTCTCTTAGATGCATTGAAGCCCCCAAGAAGGCGGGTGAAGCTTATCTGATAAAGGACGGCTGGGGTGTGCCTGCGGATGCTGAGTGACTGAACAGGGCCTGTGCACCTTATGCCACATGGTATGGAGCGAGACCTCCGTCCTCCTCAGCCGCTGCAGTGTGGACACGCCTGGCCTGGCCTCCCCTGCCGTGCCCCTAGTGGACTCGGGGGTTCGGTGAGCTGCACCCGAAAGGCTCCCTGGTCCTGCCAGTCCAGGCGGGCCTCAAGTCCAGGCGCGCAGGCTCTGGACCACAGCGTGTGGACGGGCTGTGTGGGCTAGGCCTCCCTCCAGGGCTGACCTGGCTCTCCTCAGCATTGGCCGTCCAGGAACTTCACCCTGGGCAGGTGGTTCGCGTGGCAGGAGACAGAAATCGGGTGCACACAGAAAACATTAGACTTGTTAGAATTAAAATTTATCAACCAAAAATGGATCTTTATTATTGAAGTTTTGCTATGCCTTCAGAAAAAGTCTAAAATTCGGCTGAATTATGCAAAGATTTAAAGATTATTAAAATAATGCTTATTTTGCCTATATTTCTACAAATATTTCTACAAATTCCAACAATGAAGTTCCTCATACATTTTAGGATACCACATAAACACTGAAGATTAATCTTTTTCAGTGTCAGGTAACCCAATTATTTTACATAGTAATAATAAAATGTCAACTAAATTTCCTTTCACAAAGAAAATTAAGTATAGCTTTTATTATTTTGAAACAACTTACATTTTAAAATCATTTCGAGGAGTCCAGTGGAGTGAGATAAAATTCTGATAAGCTGATTCAGAAGGTTTCTTTTTACAGCTTTCCTTACTGTCTAGAAGTATGACCTTCAGAGTGTACATATTCCCCTGGCTCTTGTGCCTCCTGGACACACACATCAAGGGCTGTGTCAGAGAAAGCTGTAGTTGTGACCCTTAAGATAATAAACCGTTTCTCATTTCTGAGGCCACACAGTGGGGGAGCCTGCGTCCATCAGTGACTCTCCTGTGTCCCCAGACCACTGACCTCCACTGACTGCGGCTGAGGGTTGGGAGAACCACAGCTCGGGAAGATCCTGTTTCCAGGCAGCATTAGGAGCACATCAGTGTCCCCATGAAGGGACACACCACTGACTGAGCAGGGGTACTGAGGATATCCGACAAGAGCACAGCAAGGCGGGCCTAACACAAAGGCAAGCTGTGATAGAAGTTCAATTTTTCTTGGGCTGGGGGTTTAGCTCAGTGGTTCCGCTAGCTGCCTCACAAGCACAAGGACCCGAGTTCAATCCCCAGTACCAAAAACAAAATGAAGTTTAAATTTTATGAAGTAGGGAAGTGTTTACACTGACTACTTCCTTCTGCTAATGATTTTGTCTGTTTATAATTATCTAGCTATGTACTTAATTTCTAGATGCGTAAGTACCCAAGCATAAACATAAGGAAATTCTAAATTGGCCAAATGACCCTGGAAGAAAGTACTAAAACTGAAAATAAGGTGCGCCAGTCAGTATAAATAAGAGGACCGTTTCGGGCACAGACACTGGTAACCAAGTGGAAGATGGCCCGGGCAGTCACACAGAGGCCAAGGAAGAGAGACAAGCAAACGCTGTATTTTAAAATACGGATTACCCAATGTGCTGAAGAGCTGTGTCACCTACAAAAACGAAATCTCTCACTAAAAATGAAACCTCTAGAATCAAAACTCACAGTAAAGAATACACATATTTTAAATGATGATAACAGAATGGATCAAACCTCACAGATTAGGTACTTCAGGCATGGAAAACCTAACACATCATTTCTACAAAAAATAACAAGTTTCAAAGACAAAAATTCGTAAGAAAGAGACTTAGTTTGCCACTGAAAAATATCAGTCACACACTGTGGCTCAGTTTTGAAATATACTCGTCTATATAATCAGACATATCCAGACCAAAATTCAACTGGTCAAAAACTCACATCCTTTCTTTTTCCTTTAGTTATTGGGAAAGAAAGGATACTGAAAGAGTAACAATTATTTAGAATCACCCTATACTGGGAAATTATTAAACTTAATCATAGAAATAATAAATTAAACCAGAGACTTGATGTTTTAGAATACACTTAACTGAATACATAATAAACATTTTATAATCACTGCTTATATGTTTATCAGCTGCTTAAGATGCTTTAAAACTTTAGAAGACTCATGCACACTAAATTTGTACTCACAGTTTAAAATTTTCCAGAAAATTTACTCAGCAAATTTTGAAATTAATGTTTCCATGCTCAAGAAAAATCAGGTTCCTAAATTTTGGTTTTCTGCATTTAATGAAGTAAACTTTAAACAAAGTATGTGTAGTTTTGAGTAATCTTCATGTCCAAAAGTCCTTAAGACAATTAAGGAGTTAATCATGTTACAAGTGCATAATTCAGAAGAGAAAAATCTGTAACAATGGACTCCCAATGACTCCCGCTAGCATCCCAAGGAAGAAGTGATTTTAAAAGCACACAGAAAGACAGGGCTTGTGTTACAGCTTCCTTCCAAGCAGTAATTCACCTGCTTTTAAAGACAAGGGAATCATAGCTGAGCAGGGATCACATTCCCACGTGGACCACCTGGGCGACGGCACACGACACATGATTGGCTGGCACATCCCCTCTGACCACGCAGTCACCCGCCGTGTTGGAGGCGTGTTCCGAGAGGAGAGAGGCACAATGGGCTGGCTCAGGACACCGGAAGATTCAAAGGTCGATGCTTCAGAAAAGCGGCCTACGGCCAGTCACCTGATCTCCAGGAATACCACAGAAGTGTAAAGAAGCCTCTCCCAGGACAAAAGCCTCATCACTATCTCGTGATGAGGACAAACACAAAAGTGGTATCAGGAAAATCACAATTTTGGCCAACCATTCCAAATGATAATAAATGTTCAACACACTCAGTGCAACCAGGGTGAAAACACAAAAGAAAAAACAAAGAGTTCATCTGCCTTGTTAAGATTTAATGAGTACTGCCTTCCTGGCATTTGTTTCCGGATGAAGAGATTTAGGAAGAACCTCTCTTTTATTTAAAAAACTAAAGATGAAAAAGCAGAAGCATTTTGGGAATGTCAAGCACTCTACTCGCAAGACGGAGCTGTGCAGCAGTAGCCCCCACTGTCGCGAGGGCCGGCCATCCAGTGGGAGCTGACCTGGAAGTCACTTGATGTCTCATAAACGCCATGTGAGTCCTGAGGGTGCTGCCCTGAGCTGGGAGCACCACCCACACTCAGGGCTTCTTCCTCAGCTCTTCATCCCAGTCAAAATCTAGTACTTCGTCATCCAGGTCTGATAAAGTGAAGAGAGAATTTTTGGAAAGAACCGGTTTCTCGGCAGAGGCCTGCAGCTGGAAGGACATCCGTTTGCTGCCAAGCCCCGGCGCCGAGGGTGGGTGAGGCGGGCTGGGGCCACCACGGGTCCAGTTCCTCCCTCCAGGGGTGGGCAGGGGCTCTGCCTGGGACTCCGCCGGGGGAGAGAAGGAGAACCTTGCCAGGGTGGCCAGCGTGCCCGCGTGGACATTCCTGCCTTTGGTGCTGCAGGGAGCCACCGCCCGGGCTCGCTCACTGGGCTGATGGGCTGAGCCTGCCTGGGTCCTGGGCTCTAGTTCAGGGCCACCACTTCGCTCCTCTCTGCACACATCTTCCAGGCGTGGCTGCTGCGGCTCACCATGGGGCTGCCGGGAGCCTCTGCTTGTCAAGGTGGACACAGCTGTGCTAGCTTGTGTCCCGGACCCCCGCTGGGGGGCTGCCTGACTGGGACCTGCCATTTCAGTGGTGCCAGGGGAGCCAGGGGAGTGGGTCAGCTTTGACTTCTGCTTGAAAGTAAACTTCGCTAGCTTGGCTGCAGGGGCACCCGGTGTCTCAGCACTCCCGGGGACCTTGAGTCTCTTTCGGGTGGGCAGCTCCGAGGTGCCCTCTGGGCCACATGCAAGAGCAGACTGCAGAGGGCTAGGACCCTGGAGCTGGGCTGGAGCCTGGCCGGCCGGCCTTCCCAACACTGGGCCACCCTCCTGCAGCCTCCTGGGTGGCCTGCCAGGGGCACTGGGAGCCAAGTCCAGCTCCTCCTCCCTGGCTGCCACCTCAGACCCAGAAGCACCCCTTTTTGTCTCTTTACCCTTAGCCCTGGGAGGCTGCAGGGGGGCTTCTGGTGAGGGGAGCTGACCAACTGCAAACGGGCCCTGGTGGCCTGGCCAGCTCTTTTCCTTAACCCAAGATCTATTGTCAGAAGTTTCCACAGCTGCCTTTTGCTCAGCTGTCTGGGAGCCCGGAGACACAAGAGCAGAGTTTCGCGGTGCCGTCCTCCGAGCTGCTGTGGGCTCACCCCAGTCGCTGCCGTCCTCTCTGTGCCCAGCTGAACGCTTTCTTCCTGGGGACCCACTGGGCCCCAGATCAGGCCGGGGGTCCAGAACTGGGCTTCCCCAGGGGCTGCCTCCAAGCGACAGGGCCCACAGGCTACAGCTCGGTTCCTGCTGTGTTGAAGTCCTCAATTTCAGTGTGGCCCCAGGGCCACCTCCAGAGGACCCTGGAGTGGTCTCTGCCTCTGCCTCCACCACGCGAAGCTGGGACGGATGCATACCCTCGTTCTGCAACCTGGCACAGACAGAGAAGGAAAACGCGAGTGAGGGGAGCAGAATCTGCCAGAATCTCTCCACCTTCTTGGAGCCAACTGGAAGTGAAGCCTAACATCAGCCCGAGAGAGTATCAGGAAGAGCATCCCGGGGCAGCAGAGGGAACTACGCTGTGAAAACATCAAAACAGAAGAAAGTGCTCTGATAGGCACCCTGACTTACCCTGACCCTGGAGTGAGCTGGAGGGAAAGCCCACTGGTTCTGCAGACTGAGGGTCAGCGTGGACAGGCCGAGCAGCTGCGGTGCTGACTGTTAGCACTAGTGTAGAAATCGAACCAGGCAGGGACTGGAGTTGGGACGGGCATCCTGCCCAGCAGACACAGGGCTCCACATGCCTGAGCCACTGCCTCTGGAGCGCAGTCATGGGGGCACCCAGGCAGCTGGACGCCCCTCCTGCAGAGCCTGGCCACTCGCAGTCAAAGCCTCCTTCCTCGCTGAGTGAGGATCTGTTCAGCAACACTCATTCTGAATACACCGAACAAACACCAGGACTGTCCTCCATCAACGGGCGCCCTGCAGCAAGGTCCCTCAGAAGGCCCCCTAACACCCACAGGTGGCCTCCCATGACCCAGCCCACATGTGCTAAATCTGGGGGAAAATCACATCCAGAGCAAAAGAAAAAACTCATCCACAATTCATATGGTATTTACGTAGGGGTACTGGGGATCCAGCGCAGGGCTTCATGCTGAGCTACACCCCCAGCCCCGTGTGTGTGTGTGTGTGTGTGTGTGTGTGTGTGTGTGAACTTTATAGTGAGACAAGGCCTCTCTGAGTTGGCCAGGCTGGCCAGTCCCTCGTTCCCTGAGAGCTGGGGTCACAGGCAGGTACCAAACCTGGCCGGCTCTATTATTTTAATCTATTTCTTCCTCAGAAATCGAGTTTCCCCAACATGCAATATCAGCAGTTTTACCTCACCCTCCTACAGGGCAGTACCTCTGGTCTCTGCTTTGAGGCACGATGACCACTACGTGGGGCAGACTGTCACAAATACCAGTATTTTTATTATGATTTTATGATTTCCTCAAGAAACTGAGACCCCATTCACTGGTTGGGTTTTTCTCCCTTGGTAAGATTAATGTTAGGTTGGGTCTAGTGCATAGCACTCTGAGGCTCATGCCAGAACATCACAAAGAAATACCCATAACAAAGACCACCATGAGGCACAACCCTGACCTTTCAGATGGTCAGCACTCTTTTCCCCCTCCTCTGGGACAGCTGTGTTTGGATTTGAGAAGTTCACTGCCACCTGTCTCATGCACAGCACTGACGGACTCACATTCGCTCCTTTCCTCAACCCACTTCCTGCCGTTTCTGTCACTTGGGCTGCAGGAAGTGAGTGGCCCTCAACAGGCAAGGACAATGGGCTGCAAAGGGTCTGCTTTGTCGAACACCCGGGACTCAGAGGTGCAAGGGATCGCCGCACCACACTCTGGGTCATAAGAGAGCTGGGGTGACAAGAGCAGGTGGCAAGTTCACTGCACCTGCACTCAGGGCCTGCAGGATACACTCAGCCCCACTTCCCCAAAGGCTGTGCTGCGGTTATAAATCAGCAAGAAGATGCTGCCGGGGTCAGGAGGAAGTAAACAGGACAATCAGCAGGAGCAGCGAGGTTTCCACCCTGTTGTGGTCCCAGCATAGGCCCCGCTGGAGGTCCGTCCAAGGACCAGCCACTCGCTGGTCCGAGTGGACAGTCTCAGATTCCTCACTCCTGCTGCCCAGGGACACAGTCAAGTGTTTAGGTCTGCGCAGCGGGTTCAGGCCAGATTTGTGCAGTGCTCTGCAAGCGTGTTGTGACTGACTCCCAAGACGCATGCCTCCCCGCTGTCCTCCAGGCCCACTGCCCACACTTCCAGGAGTCACAAGAAGGCTGAGCGCCAACACTGGCACTCTTGGCATGGCCTGTGACCTGTGTGGAGAAGAGACAAGCCCTCTCCTGAGCCCACAGAGCTAGCACTCAGTGTTTTTAAGAAGCCACTGGGTCTTGGAGTGTTTATTACGCACTGAGAAATCAGTACAGTGCCCTGCAGACGTGACAGGGAGACTTTTCACTCAGCTTACACTGTGTGGTCTCTCAGATGCTATGGAAAGATTTCTCTTAGTTCCCTCTCCTGGTTTTCCTTCCTTACCTTTCCAGTCTCTGAAGCTCTTCGCTCAAGAGGCCCTGCAGCTCCAGCCTCTCAAGAATGAGTCTGCACTGCTGCTGGTACTGTGCCTGAGGGTCTTCAGGAAAGGCCGTGTGGAGCGCGTTCAACCCCCCTAGCAGCGCACCTCCCTGCAGGGGTACAGGGCAGGCAGAGCTGCAGGACAGCTGCACCTTGGGAACCACTCACCCCGGGGGGCTAGTACCGCCCTGCACCGCACCCCAGGGTCCAGTCCCTGGGGTCCCTTCTCTCCCCACGAGCTCTGGGCAGCAGTGACTGCTGTGGTAGACCACGGACACCGCTCAGGTGTGCCCAAACACCCTGCCTTGCTCCAGCATTCAGCAACAAGGGCAGTGACGGCCCCCTCTGCGTGTTCCGGCACTCACTAGGCCCAAACTCAATCACGTATGTAACTCCAGGCAACACGCTGAAGCTCCCAAGCAGGGTAGATGTTCAGTGCACAAAGTATCCTCACCTGCATGGAGGACTCCATCACTGACACCACGGTGACGGCATCTTCCAGAGTCACAGTGTCGCGAAACATGAGGCGGGCGTGAGCTGTGAAAATGAAACGCGTTTGACTTCCGCAGCATCTGAGGGGCTACATGCAATCCTGTGCCTGAGTCCCCTCCTCCAAAACTGTATTCTATGAATGAGCCACTCATAATAAATTAACTTTACCAGATGAAGTACAAAAGTCCACATTCCACTGACTTTGCAGCTTTATGCTAGTAATGGGCCTAAACTTGCCGCCTAGACTACACAATGTTGCCTATTTACATGAAAAAGTACTTGGACTCTAGAAAATAAAGGGACTGTATAAACATATATTTAATATTCAGCAACTTTTAATACTCACTTTTTAATCTATGGTAGAAACATATAAAATTAAAACTCATTTTTCACTTCTGGCATTTCTTTTTGTCTATGATTTACGAGTTTCTCAAAGCTACCAAGTGAGCACAGCTGAATTTTGGGTATTTCTTGCCCTAATGTTAGCTATAAATCCTTGAAAAAAATGAGGCCCTTTTGTTTATCATACTTTTATTATGCTTGCATGATTTCATCATATGATGCATTCAGTGCGTATGAACTTTTAAGGAGTTACTGGAACAGAGCCAGTGTGAGGAGGCACTGGGATGCATGTGGGTTACGTGTCCACGTCAGTCTCGTGTCGGGCAGCACAGGGCACCACCCAAGTGGCTGACACCGAGCAAGAACCAGACAGTGCTGACAACCGAATGCCGACAGGGCTGCGCTAGGAGGAACGTAGGAGAGGCGAGGCTGCCCCTGGGACGGTCCCCATGGGACGGGCAGTCCTGAGGACACGGAGGACACTGCTTCCACCCAGCACCCCTCCTGCCTGGAGCAGCCAGGTCTCGGGCTTGGGCCTTCACTGCCACGTGATGGCGGGTGCCGCACACGTTCTGCACATGGGGCGCTCGGCGACGTCACGCGGTGTCAGGCACCCACCTTCTGCTAAGCGGATCAAGCTCTCCAGCAGGCGTATGGTCGTGCGGGCCGCGTTGCGGGCGTCGCTCTGCCTCTGCATCTGGTAGTAGCGCAGGAGAACCTGGTTACCCGCATCTGACAGCGTGGGCTGCAGCGTCCTGACGAGGCGGAAGTAGGTCTTCATCTTCTCCATGCTCCACAGCCTCTCGGGCTCGCTCGGATAACCTGTGGGCCGGCGGATTCCACAATGTGTGTCACCGCGAAGGGCTCTCCCTCCCGCACCCACCCGAAACGACAGCAGGCTCTGCCGTGGCTGCCCAGAGCAAGCAGTCCTGGGATCTGACTAGAAAGGCCCGCGTCCTCGGGGTTCACCCTGCGGCACTCCGGGCTGCTCACTAGGAATCAGCAAGCATGGGAACTCTGCTCACAGAGACTCGCATGTAGCGATTTCCCCTCACAATCCAGTCATGTGCGTGGCAAGAGGTCGCCTCGGCGGTCTTCTCAGCCAGCAGGTGGCGAGGCCCCCCCTCCGCTCACCTCCCCTCACTCCTGCCTTCTGGCTAAGCATCCCTTCGTGGTGTGTAAAAAGGGTATCTGGGGCGTTTCTTTTTTTCAAGGAGAATTTCCTTCATTTAGACCGGAGCTTTCCGTGTCAGCCTGAATGGTTTTCTTTGCACACCTTTATTCTCTAAGATGAAGGAGGAAATGACACGATCCCAGTCTTCATTCTTGGTATCGAGCAAGACTAGGATCAGGTCGAATCGACTGAGAAGTGGGCTGCCAAGGGCGATGTTCACTGCCACAGACTCCTGGGGGTCGTACTGGCCTTTGGGATTGGTGGCGGCCAGGATGGTGGTCCTTGTGTTCAGCTTGCACACGAGGCTGCCAAGAAAGAGGGCAGATTCATGGGCCATGAGATCAACCTTGTTAATAAAACACAGAGGCACTGGTTCCCGGAAAATCCAGAGCGAATCCTGTGAGAGAAAAATGTGGGATGACACACGATCTCTATCCCAAATGCCAAGTTCATCAAGAAAGCACCTGAAACCAGCTTATCTTGAAGAGAATAACTCATAACTGTCCAAGAAACACTTCTTCATACATTGGGGAACAGAGCTGGGGCCTGGCACATGGAAGGCCAGTGTTCTACCCAATGTGCTATATTGCCAACATTTTATCTTTGTACTTTGAGAGAGGGTCTTGCTAAGTTGCCTGGGATGGTCTTCACTTGATCTTGGTCAAAAGGCTAAGAAGCGATTGCCTAGGCTGGTCTTGAACCTGTGATCCTCCTGCTTCAGCCTCCTGAGTAGGTGGGATTACAGGGCCTGGCTCAGTTAACACTACACTACTATAATGAGCGGACCCCTCTGCTAAGTGCCAAGAGGCATAGAACATTAAGTTATACATGAACAGTGCTCTTAAGGAGCCTATGAACCACTCGCTCCAGTGTAACTCAGGAAAGCACACGCCAGGTTCTGTAAGCATAAAGTTCGCAGAACTAAGGACAGTGAGTGTTCGTGATGGAAAAGGCAGTCAGTGAGAGAAGCAGTAGAAAGCAGTTTCTGAACCGCAGTCTCACGGTGTCTGGATGTGTCCAAGCTGAGGGAGATATACCCTTGTGGAGGGTGGAGATGGGACAGTTTTAGGGAACGGTGAGAGCTAACACAGAAGCCTTCTGTGTACTCACTCCTTTTGTTTTGATTTCTCTAATCATGGAGGAGAAGCAATCAGGAAGACTAAGGGCTGGTTTAGCGTGGAGCCCAGGCAGCGGTGTGGTGGCTGGCACCCACAGGAGAGGGCAGAGGCCAGGGCAGGGCCTGGGGAGAGGCCCCAGTCCCGTGTGGGGCAGTGCAGGGTCACATGCGGTAACTTAGCACTCGCTCTTCTACTAATCAGTGTTGGGCAAGTCCTCCATGGGCGTGCTCACTGCAGCAGCAGGGTGGGGTTTGCATCTGCAAGTCTTCTGGTTTGGTGAGGGGCAGGCTGTCTCTCAAGGGCTGCAGGCCTGTGACCTCAGCACACATGTGCTCCATCTGTGCATGCTAGGATTTCCAGCTGCCTCAAGCAGCGACTTCCTTGCCGAAGCTGAAGGAGTTCGAAAATCTTTGCAGCAAATGGCACATAAAGACACTCACTGAATACGAGAAAAACAAGTAATTTCATGGCAAACTAAATCTTTTTTAAAAAATTAACGAAGAAAAAATTTCAATAGATCACATCTGATAGTTAATGTACAAAATGAAGGCAACTCTTTAGGACTGGGAACTCCTGCGATCGATAACCAGGACCAGAAAAATCCCAAAAAACAATGTAATGAATGGTTCCTACTCATTCCACATACAGCTGCGGTGACTTACATGTATAAAAAAGGAATATTTCTGCAGTTCTGACACTGAAATAAAACATATCCACATAGGAGATAATTTTTAGAATTTATTTTTAATGCTAGGTAAATTTAATTGGCCATTCAACATCTCTCTGATTAACATAATTATAGGGCATTTCCTGGGTATAAAATAAGGTGGGTCCTGGAAACTCAGGAAGGCCAGAATGCAGTAGAACCACTGGGGGCCAGATAAGAGGGCTCAGCAGAGCACTGTCAGACAGCAGTTGGGCAGGGCCGGCAGGAAGAGGCTCCCATAGGGCACACCAGGATGACGGGAGGGAAAATCTGAACCTCAAACGGAAAATAAGCGTGTGAAGACAGAAGGGAGATGGTATATTGTTTCTGAGGTAAACGGGGGAAAATAAGCTTAAGGAAAGGGGCTAAGGAAGATTTGCATGCGGAGAACAGGCTGCCTGTAGGAAGCCATCAGAATGCGCAGGCGGTGAAAGGTGGGGACAGGTTGGGCAGAGGTGACTGGGGGAGCAGGCAGGTCCCTGGGCAGAGGCAGGAGGGATGGGGAAGCTGACAGGGCTCCAGGCAGCAAAGAGGGGAGGCTGCGCATAAACCTGGAGCCTGCAGGCCTACAATCAAATGTCTCTATAAACACTGAAGACAGGCACACCCATGCACCTGCACTCTGGTCCCCAGTACCACGTGCACTGGAGGCGCAGCATTCATACTTAGTGAGAGGCAGCTCATTCTCCCCAATCTGAACTCCACTTGCTTCAGTTATATTAATGAGAATAACTACCGCGCTGTGGTCGTACCAAGCATGGTGCCACACAGATCATTCCGGGTCACCACAGAAACCTGAAAGGCAGTGTCTTCCCACGAACTGAGAAATAAGGACGCTGTGCACGGACTCACCCCCCAGGGCACACACATGGCAGAGACCCACAGAGTTGGCATTTATCACCACCCCTCACATGCACCTACCGGTCCCTGCGCTCGATCTGAAAATTCATCCGACACTTTAGTACCCACCTACTCGCTTATCTCTGCCCAGTAACTACGGTCCCTGTGAGGGACTAACTTACTGCTATTACCCTCGCACCATCCGGCACCTATTAAACACCCAGTAAACACATACTAAATTAAACATAAAGTTATTTAGCTCAATATATATTTCTAAAATTCTGAGTCACCTCATATTCACAGGCTTCCACACTCATAACTCAGTGACACTGACACAAACTTCTTCCTGCCTTTGAGTGGAAACACTGGTTGCTGGAAAAGCTACTTTTCCATTTATTTAATCCACATGTTTAAACTTTCCTGCAAACACTGCAGTCATTTCTATAAACATCGTAATGTTGGGTTGCACAGGTGGGCTGGGCTGGCCAGACCCTCCGGAGTGCCCGCTGCCCACGCTGCACGCGCAGGCAGCCCCAGCTTGGCTCCCACGCCCCCTCCCCTTCCCTGCTACTTCCAGCTCAGCTCCGGCGGGGCAGTGGCTGCCGCGTGCTCACCAGAACTTGCGTCCTTCCCGAGGGAGAGGACAAGATGATCCCCACCCCTCACAGCTAAGGAGGGCAGCGCTGCCCAGTCCGACAACCGGACGAGGCCCCATGGCTTCCTGCGCACCCTCCATCTCTCTGTCTTTCAGCAGACTGAAAGGGAGATGTGAGGAGGAAGCCTGAGCCCTGGATGACTGTGGGGAGCAGGGCACCCACTCTCACCTTCGTCTCCATGACACAAGCAGGAGAAACTTCCGATGGTAGGGTATACGAGGGAGAGCTGAGCACAGGAAAAGAGTGGCCCTGTTCCCAAGGGGGAGACTTCAAGCCCCAGACAGTAAAAGAATGAAAGAGGCCAGGCCAGCTGCAGTGCAGGCTCCGCCAGCCGCGGGCGGCTTCCCATTTCTCTATTAATAGGGGCTCAGTCAAAACAAACACTGCTTAAAAGCGCGAGCAGTAACAAATATCCTACAAACTGCATACAATAAAAACTCGTCAGTGGTATTTCCAATGCATCCTATATTTTTTGATAATCTTAAATGCTAGAAACATAATTCTTCAAATGTTGCTGCTGTTTGTTTCTGCGATGCTAGGAACTGAACCTAGGGCCTCCCACATTTCCCCCACTTTTTAACTGAAAATTGTCTTTAACATCAACACTGACTCAGTGAGTTGAAGCGTGGTTCCTTTGCGGCAGGATGGAAGAGCCAGGGTGAGCGTACTGACCCATACCCAGCTGGAAGGAGCGGAATCCCAGGGTGCAGGCCTCGAACCCTCGCTTTCACGGCCTGGTGGCACACTGTGAGACGGGAAGGAGGGCTGGTGCTGCCCAGGGGCCCTGTGTGACCCCCGTAAGTGCCCACCAGACCCCTGCAGGCAGCGGGAGCGGCAGGCCCTCCCCCCCCCGGCCCCCTCGTTCAGGTCTGTGAGGGCCCTCTCTCACCGGTGACCAACAGGAGTCGGACACGCGTGTGTGGGCTGCCGTCACTCCCTTCACACGCACAGCCCACGTCCGCTCACGGCCTACTCTCGCCTGTCTGTGATAGAGCACACTGGACGGCACACAGGAGCTGGGGGCCCTGGGAGCGACCGGCAGCCAGACCTCCGGCCCCCTCGTTCAGGTCTGTGAGGGCCCTCTCTCACCGGTGACCAACAGGAGTCGGACACGCGTGTGTGGGCTGCCGTCACTCCCTTCACACGCACAGCCCACGTCCGCTCACGGCCTACTCTCGCCTGTCTGTGATAGAGCACACTGGACGGCACACAGGAGCTGGGGGCCCTGGGAGCGACCGGCAGCCAGACCTGGTGACACTCAAGGTGGCCGGCAGCAGAGGATGACAGTGGCAAAGGACAGCAGGAGCCCCATCTCCATGCCGGGAGGCTGGGCGGGGGCGCCAACAGCATCACGTGGCACTCTAAGCTGCAGGCGGGAAGCACCGTACTTCCCAGGGCGCAGTTCCTAACCAACTAGGGGAGAGCCTTCAGCTGATCTGTAACAGCTCAAGCAGAAGAGGACGGTGTGGATGGTCACCAGCAGGGACCAGAGGCAGCCCTCATCTGACTTCCAGTCCAGGGGCACGGTGGACACCCCTGAGAAACACTGCTCTACCCAGCCAGCATGCTGGGGCCACCCTCGGGCAGCGTCTCTTGGTGGGGCTGCCTACAGTGATGCATCCCTCTCCTCCCTCCCTGCCTCACCTCGCTCTGAGCACAAGGCTTCCCGGAAGCCCCGGGTGGGGAGGAATCTGACCCTGCAGCTGGGGCTCCTGAGCTGGGCTCAGCAAGGGGACCCTCACGGGGTCACAATACAGATGCCAGGCCCTGCCTCAGAGACTCCCCGGGCCTGGGCCAGGCCAGGACACGGGTGAGGGCAGGCCCTGGGATCTCCTGCCGAGACACTACCACACTGAGTTGGAAAGGAACCTCGAGAACAGCGAGCCACTGTCTTCCCCAAATCAGTATTCAGCATCCTGCAGCCTCGGCAAGCGTCGTCACGTTGTTTCAAATGAGGGCTGCCGCTGTGTGGCACTGTGCTGCAG